AAAAGAGGGACCACCACCCCGGTCTGCCAGTCCAGAGGCACTGTCCCCGACCGCCATGCGACGTTGCAGACGCGTGTCAACCAAGACAGCCCAACAACATCCAGAGAATTAAGGTACTCAGGGCGGATCTCATCCACCCCCGGTGCCTTGCCACCGAGAAGCTTCTTGACTACCTCAGTGACTTCAGCTTGGGTGATGGACGAATCCACCTCTGAGCCCTCAGCCTCTGATTCCTCATCGGAAGACATGGCGCCGAGATTGAGGAGATCCTCGAAGTATTCCTTCCACCGTCCGACAATGTCCCCAGTTGAGGTCAACAGCTGTCCACCTCCACTGTAAACAGTTTTGGCAGGGCACTGCTTCCCCCTCCTGAGGCGCCGGACCTTTTGCCAGAATCTCTTCGAGGCCGACCGATAGTCCTTCTCCATGGCCTCACCGAACTCTTCCCAGACCCAAGTTTTTGCCTCCGCGTCCACCCGGGGTGCAGCCCGCTTGATCTGTCGGTACCCGTCAGCTGTCTCAGGAGTCCCACAAGCCAACCAGGCTCAAAAGGACTCCTTCTTCAGCTTAACAGCATCCCTTACGTCCGGTGTCCATCACCGGGTTCGGGCTTGCCACCACGACAGGCACCGGAGACCTTACGGTCACAGCTCCGAACGGCCGCATCGACAATGGAGGTGGAGAATATGGTCCACTCGGACTCAATACATTGAGCCACTTGGTGAAAATGTAAGTTACAAACTAGTGGGATTTATACAGTGGGTACGGAAAGTATTCAGACCCCCTTACATTTTTCACTCTTTGTTATATTGCAGCCATGTGCTAAAATCATTTAAGTTCATTTTTTTCCTCATTAATGTACACACAGCACCCCATATTGACAGAAAAACACAGAATTTTTGACATTTTTGCAGATTTATTAAAAAAGAAAAACTGAAATATCACATGGTCATAAGTATTCAGACCCTTTGCTCAGTATTTAGTAGAAGCACCCTTTTGAGCTAATACAGCCATGAGTCTTTTTGGGAATGATGCAACAAGTTTTTCACACCTGCATTTGGGGATCCTCTGCCATTCCTCCTTGCAGATCCTCTCCAGTTCTGTCAGGTTGGATGGTAAACGTTGGTGGACAGCCATTTTCAGGTCTCTCCAGAGATGCTCAATTGGGTTTAAGTCAGGGCTCTGGCTGGGCCCTTCAAGAACAGTCACGGAGTTGTTGTGAAGCCACTCCTTCGTTATTTTAGCTGTGTGCTTAGGGTCATTGTCTTGTTTGAAGGTGAACCTTCGGCCCAGTCTGAGGTCCTGAGCACTCTGGAGAAGGTTTTCGTCCAGGATATCCCTGTACTTGGCCGCATTCATCCTTCCCTCGATTGCAACCAGTCGTCCTGTCCCTGCAGCTGAAAAACACCCCCATAGCATGATGCTGCCACCACCATGCTTCACTGTTGGGACTGTATTGGACAGGTGATGAGCAGTGCCTGGTTTTCTCCACACATACCGCTTAGAATTAAGGCCAAAAAGTTCTATCTTGGTCTCATCAGACCAGAGAATCTTATTTCTCACCATCTTGGAGTCCTTCAGGTGTTTTTTAGCAAACTCCATGCAGGCTTTCATGTGTCTTGCACTGAGGAGAGGCTTCCGTCGGGGCACTCTGCCCTAAAGCCCCGACTGGTGGAGGGCTGCAGTGATGGTTGACTTTTTACAACTTTCTCCCATCTCCCGACTGCATCTCTGGAGCTCAGCCACAGTCATCTTTGGGTTCTTCTGTACCTCTCTCACCAAGGCTCTTCTCCCCTGATAGCTCAGTTTGGCCGGACGGCCAGCTCTAGGAAGGGTTCTGGTCGTCCCAAACGTCTTCCATTTAAGGATTATGGAGGCCACTGTGCTCTTAGGAACCTTAAGTGCAGCAGAAATTTTTTTTTGTAACCTTGGCCAGATCTGTGCCTTGCCACAATTCTGTCTGTGAGCTCTTCAGGCAGTTCCTTTGACCTCATGATTCTCATTTGCTCTGACATGCACTGTGAGCTGTAGGGTCTTAGACAGGTGTGTGGCTTTCCTAATCACATCCAATCAGTATAATCAAACACAGTTGGACTCAAATGAAGGTGTAGAACCATCTCAGGGATGATCAGAAGAAATGGACAGCACCTAAGTTAAATATATGAGTGTCACAGCAAAGGGTCTGAATACTTATGACCATGTGATATTTCAGTTTTTCTTTTTTAATAAATCTGCAAAAATGTCAAAAATTCTGTGTTTTTCTGTCAATATGGGGTACTGTGTGTACATTAATGAGGATATAATTAACTTAAAGGATTTTAGTATATGGCTGCAATATAACAAAGAGTGAAAAATTTAAGGGGGTCTGAATACTTTCTGTACCCACTGTACTTTAAAAAAAGCTAAATAGAGGCAAAACCTGCCAAAAAGATAAAATTGACAAAAAGAAAACAGACTGTCTTCCATGTTTCCTGAGGAAACAGTGCAGCAGTGTGGCTCACTGGGGGGGGCTAATAGCTGGTGGACAATAGTGGAGGTCTACGGCACAGAGCAATGAGCTGGACCAGGGTCTGGACTCACACACATTACGGTGAGGACACCACATTCACTGGTGCTGCTGGTCTCTGGGTGGGATTCACTGGCTCAATCTTTAACATGTTGAAAATGCACTGACTTCTGAGTTCTTTGAACATGAGTTGTACAGTAGTAGAAGTGACAGTAACTACAACATTGGCACTAGCAGTAGTAGTTTTGATGTTTGCAGACAGACAGGTAGCGTGTTCTCACCTTGATGCGTTTGTCTCCAGGTGAGGATGACAAATTCAGAGAGCAAACCATCGCCAGAGAATGACAACCAGTCAGCTTCAACAACAAGGCCTCTGTTATATACCTGACACCTGAGAGGAGGAGAGGAAACAAGAGAGGAGGAACAACTGGTTCAGTAAACAGTAGAGTCCATAGGAGTGTGGTGGTTTTAGCCTTTAGCCCAGGTTTCCTCCTCTACCTCCTCTGTTCTCCCAGTGGTCTGCACCTCCTCCTGCCTCCCTCTGCTCCTCCATCTCTGGACCAGACATCAGGACAGGCTGTGGACCCGGGGCAGCTCACAGTTATCTTCATTAACAATTCATCTACAATTATGCCATTGATTGTTCAGCCTATGAAACATCAGACACAGCGCTGTAGAGCCCATGGCAACCTCATTAATAAAAGCCTTATTTTCTCTACAGCGGTCTTGTATTCCTTCCTTCATGCTCGGGTCCTCTACCAGAGGCCCGGGAGCTTGAGGGTCCTGCGCAGTATCTTAGCTGTTCCCAGCACTGCACTCTTCTGGACAGAGATCTCAGATGTTGTTCCTGGGATCTGTTGGAGCCACTCTCCCAGTTTGGGGGTCACAGCCCCCAACGTTCCTATTACCACGGGGACCACTTGTGCCTTCACCTTCCACATCTTTTCCAGCTCTTCTTTCAGCCCTTGGTATTTCTCGAGCTTCTCGTGTTCTTTCTTCCTGATGTTGCTATCGCTTGGGATTGCTACATCTATCACTACGGCCTCCTTCTTCTGTTTGTCCACCACAACTATGTCCGGTTGGTTGGCCATTACCAGTTTGTCAGTTTGTATCTGGAAGTCCCACAGGATCTTAGCTTGGTCATTCTCAACCACCTTTGGAGGTGTATCCCAATTTGGCTCTGGGACTTCCAGCCTGTATTCGGCACAGATGTTTCTGTACATAATGCCAGCCACTTGGTTATGGCGTTCCATGTATGCCCTGCCTGCTAGCATCTTGAACACGCATAGCCCGTGTGTTTAGTGAGTTGTCTGGTTGTAATACTCACCCCGTTGTTTGTTCGTTAACCCCGCGATAACACTAATTGGCGAAGTTATCAGATAGTTAACTAGCTTTAGCCTGTTTAGCATGTCAGTCTTCGGTTACCATAGAAACCTAATGTCGCGCATTAGCCAGCGGAAACTTTAAACTCAGTTAGCTAGCTAGTAAAATAAATCAATCAATAAATAAAAAGTTAGCTATCTAGCTGACAGCTCCTGTATGAAACTTGGTCAAGACTTGAGTTCTAACCTGGATAAATGACAAACGGGACAAAGTCATTGTTAATGGCAACTTTACCTTCGCTAACGTGAGCCAGGCTGATTAGTTAATCCACCGTCTCCATGGGAACCTGCGGACACAAAGCCAGTTAAATAACGTCAGCTAACTGTGTCGAGGACTTCATGAAAAAAATATTTAATTTTCTCCAAAGACACGGCACACACAGGACAAAACATCGACACAAAGAAGTACTGTTGACTGTTCACTGTTTTCTCTGAGCTGGAGCTGCAGGTGGACGCTGCCTTCAGGTCCCTCTCACAAATTCGTAAACTTCCAATTAATTTGTCGCTCCTTAGAATCTCTGCCAGATACCTCCTGATTCTTTGAAAACATATCACACACACCACGGTGATTACAAAACTTTTATAATAGCTTATTTTTGCTCTTAAGTGTATCTGCACAATATTGTTTTCACATGATATACGGCCATGTTTAATGTGCGCTGAACCAAGTGTGGCGTTTCCGACACCACCGGAAGGCACCATTGAAATGGATTGTTTATTTTCAGCGGTAGACAAGTTCTTAGATATTATACTGAGGCAAAAGTAGAAATACCACTGTGTAGAAATGCTTTATTACGAGTGAAAGTCCTAAAGTGAAAAATGTACTCAAGTACAAAAGTGATAGCATCAAACTATACTTGAATTTTTACTTGAAAAGTAAAAGTATACAGAATGGCCCATTTGAGAACATTTTTTTTAAATCACTGGATGATATTTATTTATGCATTATTGTGTAAACATTACTAATGTTGTAGATGGTAAAGTTGGAGCTAAATGTATCTACTTTATACTGCCAAGTCCAGGTGGCTTAATCAATAGTAATACATAATCATTTATTAGTTGATTAGCCTATATTTTGTGTGAAGTATTTGCATCTGCAAAGTCACTAATTGAAGCAGTCAAATAAATGCACTGGAGTAAAAAGTACATTTCCCTCTTTCCCCAGAAAAATGAATAAACACAAGAATAATCACATCCAGGACTGAACCAAACCGTGTCACCAGGTTAGTGCACCAGTTACGCACAGGGACCACACAGTCAGTGTATTGACATTTATTGGCAGATTATGAAATTATTACAAAGTCTGGAGAAAGAGAAATAACACCATGTACATCTGAACTGGGAGCAGATTTCTCTATCTTTCTTCCTCATCTTTATCTTCACATCTCTTCAAACAAACTCCATCAGTATTAAATTAAGAAGTGTAGTGAAATTGTTCTGCTGCAGAGTTATGTCGAGTCAGGGCATCTGGTTAACTGCAGCTCCAGAGCAAACTCCTCCAGCTGGGAAATGTAGTCCGAACATTCAGTAGAACTACAGTCTGTCGGCCAGAGCTCTACCACGGCCTCAGAGTCCAGAGGAAGGCGATACCTGCAGGACACAACACAAACAGAGCCAGCTCAAGCTGGAAGATGAACTACAGGTGTGTGTGTGTGTGTGTGTGTGTGTGAGTGAGAGAGAGAGAGAGAGACACTGACTTGTGGCTGCGTACAACTTCTGTCCCGCTGGCTCCCATCACCAGGTACTGTTTGTCTTTGTGGATGTTAACAGCGTTACAGGTGGCCTTTTTTACCAGGACCACCTCTGTACCTGAACTCACCGCCTCAAGCTCTGCAGCAGACATAAGGCTCTGTACCTGAACTCACCGCCTCAAGCACTGCAGCAGATGAAACCAGACAGGACATTTCATGTATCAAACAGACAAAGTAACAGAACTGTGACATGATCTAAAAGAAGTCGTGAGCACACTGCAACATGACACAGCATCTTTAGAAAGGTTGGATACAGAGCTCAGTGTGCTGCACATTACTAAAAACCTGGCACACAGGTCACACAACAGAAGTTTGCGGGAAGCATTAAACAGATGAAATCCTTTTGATTACAGTCTGGAATGTTTCATAGCATCTCTTTTAAATGAAACTAACACTGGACCAAATGTACATGTACAGTAGTCTCTTCTAGTTGTGTTTCTGTTGTTATGTATTGTGTCCTCTGTGGTGACTGTCACAGCAACACTGGTGCCTTAGCGCCCTCTGTACTTCTGCATGATGCACAGGCCTAAGTGAGGATTCAACTGTGTGCCTGGATCTGGATGTGACCAGATGTCAGGTAGAGTAGAGCTGTCTCACCTTCATCTGTGTTCTTCAGGACTTCAACTACGTTGGCTGTGTAGGTCATAAAGTCTCCTTCTGCTACCACAGACGTCACCGTCACCCTGTAGGCTGCAGGGAGGAGACAGGCTCAAACTTGCTCGTTCTTTATCGTGCTTTTTGTGAAGTGTTTGTTTTTGTTACATACATTTTATTGGTATTTCTTTTCAAAATAAATGAGACAACTCTAATGTAAACTCAGAAACAAACAAAAAAGTGAACAGCAGAATGTTCTAACTTTAGGACCATGTGCAGTGAGTGAAGCAGGTCTCCTCAGTTACGTGAGAATGTGGTGCTGAAGAGTCCGACCTGAGGTTACCGACAAATGTTTTCACGTCATCACACTGCGTTTCTGTGAGGGTGGTGTCTGTGGCTTCCTAAATACCAAATACATGATGACGGTGCATTCCT